ACGCCCAGTTGACCGCCCACTGTGGTACTTGCCCCACCACCCGGTGATGCATCCCTTAAAGCCTGAAAAAGTTCGGGTTGTTTTTGATTGTGCAGCTCAGTTTGCACAGACCTCTTTAAACCAGCAATTGCTGCAGAGTCCAGACTTGACCAATCGTATTGTAGGAGTGTTGAGCTGTTTTCGCCAAGAGACTGTTGGCCTTATAGTTGACACACAATCAATGTTTCATCAAGTCAGAGTAGAGCCAAGGGACTGTGATGCATTAAGATTTTTGTGGAGGCCAGGGGGAGATTTGTCAGTGGAGCTAGTTGGGTACCGAATGGTGGAGCACATATTTGGAGCGACGTTGTCACCAAGTGTGGTGAACTTCTGTTTGAAGAAAACAGCAATGACGGAGGAACAGCAGAATACAGAAATTGCCAATGTTATTGACAGGAACATGTATGTTGACGATCTCACGAAGTCAACTGAAACAGCAGCAGATGCCACCTCCTTGGCAGACAAAGTTAGTAAACAACTCAACAAGGGTGGTTTTCATCTAACAAAATGGTGCAGCAACGACAGAAAAGTTATAGCTGCTATACCAGAGTCAGAGACAGCTAAATTAGTGGTGAACTTGGAGCTGGAACAGCTACCAATGCAGAGTGCTCTTGGAATGAAGTGGAATATAGAAGATGACAAATTTGTGTGGGAAATCTCGGACAAACTTGAGTGCAATGTCTAAGAAACCAGCAACAAGACGGAGCATAGTGTCTATCGTGTATTCCTTGTTTGATCCACTGGGCTTTACTACACCCTATATCATGAAGGCAAAGCTGATACTTCAGATGTTAAGCAGAAAGAAGATTGGATGGGATGAACCACTTGAAGAAAACCAGAATGTGCAGTGGACAAGATGGTTGGATGACCTTGGCAAGTTAAAAGAAGTAACAGTTGACCGCTGTTTCAAACCCAAAGGATTTGGACAGGTTCAAGAAACACAGTTTCTTGTTTTCAGATGCTTCGTGACAAGGCTATTCAGCTGCTGCGTACTTTCGTGTGAAGGATGTCGATGGAAGAGTGCATTGTTCATTCGTCATGGGCAAGGCCCGGTTGGCTCCAATCAGAGAAATTTCCATACCCAGACTTGAGCTGACTGCGGCAGTTATCTCTGTGAAACTCAGCCACGTGATCCGGGATTGGATCTGACTGTGAACAAGGTCATTTACTGGACAGATTTCATCTCAGTACTGAAGTGTATTAACAACGAAACCAAGAGATTTCATACCTTTGATTCAAATCGTTTGACAATCATACATGATGGATCTACACCCCAGCAATGGAGTTATGTAAACAGAGAAGACAACCCGGCACATGATGGATCTAAAGGACTAAAACTGGATGTCTTGATAAAGAATGATCGCTGGCTGACAGGTCCTAAGTTCTTATGGGGAGAGGAAGAATGCTGGCTGGCAATGGTCGAGATCCTGATCCTCAGAGATGAGGATCTGGAAGTTAGAAAGAAGAATCAAATCTATGTAGCATCAGCCAGTCGTGATGTTATGGAAAAGCTTATGATGTACTATTCTTCTTGGTGGAAACTCAAGGTAGCAGTTTCATGGTTGCTGCGCTATAAGCGGTACCTTAAGAACAAAATCCTACAGCGCAGAGAAAGCTCTTTAACCAAACAAAAGTTGCAGGAGAGAAGTAGTCACCTCACACTCGACAAGCTTCGTGAAGCAGAGCATGAAATTCTCCGCTATGTTCAAATGAGAGAATTCCCTGAAGTAATTGCCCTTCAGTCGGAAGATCAAAGGTTGGTGAAGAGGCTAATGAAGAAGATGCGAGCTTCAATAACCAAGTTGAACCCTCAAGTCCATGATGGATTGTTGCGAGTAGGAGGCTGTATTAGACAAGCCCCTTTGTCTTATGACTTGAAGCACCCAGTGATTTTGCCTTACAAGCATCATGTCACAGACCTGATAATCAAAGACCATCACCTGAAAGTGGGGCACATGGGCCAAGAGTCAGTTTTGTCATCATTGAGACACAAGTATTGGATCTTGAAAGGGAGATATGCAGTGCGCCAAGAGCTGAACAAATGTTTTGATTGTCAGAAGAGAAAGGTGAAACCCACAGAGCAGTTCATGGCTGAACTTCCAAAGGATCGTGTGACCCCAAGTGAACCACCATTTACATATGTTGGAATTGATTGTTTTGGCCCTATAGAAGTGAAACAGGGAGTCACCCTAAGAGGTATGGCTGCCTCTTCACATGTTTAATTGTGCGTGCAGTGCACATTGAAATTTTACACTCAGTGAGTGCTGATTCTATGATCAATGCCTTGAGAAGGTTCATCAGCATGTGGGGCTGTCCCAAAGAAATTCGAAGTGACAATGGGACAAATTTCACAGGAGTTGACAAGGAGTTGAGAGATGCTGTTCAACAGTGGAACCACCAAAGGATCAGCGATTTTTGTGCACAAAGGGAAATCAAGTGGACATTTAATCCTCCAGATGCAAGCCACATGGGAGGCATGTGGGAGAGGATGATTCAAACTGCCAAATGAGTGTTGAAGGCTTTATTGAAAGAGCACGTTGTAACAGATGAAGTCCTCTCTACTGTGATGGCAGAAATTGTTAACATCGTCAACAGTCGTCCCTTAACATGCAACAGCAACAGTGTCTCAGATGATGAGCCAATTTCTCCCAACCATTTGCTGCATTTGCGCCCAACACCCAGTTTGCCGCCAGGTGTGTTTGTCAAGGGAGATCTTCATTGCAAGCATGTGTGGAGACAAGCCCAATACTTAACTGGTGTGTTTTGGCAGAGATGGTCCAACAAGTACTTACCAACCCTTATGGAGAGACGGAAGTGGAGAAATGCCTCAGGAGAATATTAAGGCAGGAGATTTAGTTCTACTAGCAGACAAGAATTACCCACGTGGTGAGTGGCCAATTGCACATGTTGTGGAGGCCGTTGTTAGCAGTGATGGATTTGTGTGTGCTGTGTGAGTCAGGACTGTCTCCACAGTAGCAACTCATGTCAAAAGACAACGCCGCGGAGAGCTGAAAGCCAGTAGTGTCATACTTACACGGCCTATTACAACCTTATGTCCCCTAGACATGGATATATAAGAACTGTGGGAAAGTATCTCATGATGACTGATTCTTCTTAAGAACTATATTGTTAGGAGTCGGTAGCTGTTTAAGTGTTGTAAATGAATTTCGGTAAAAAATTCATTTAGGGGCTGGTGTCATTCCCGACTCCCCTTGGGAGATTTTTGTCGGTCACATGACGTGATCACTGGACTTTAGTCGCCATGTGTTCAAGTAAGTGAGTGTTTTGAATCGCAGGAGTTTGTCAAAAGTTGTTATTGTGCTGTTCACTTAGCTCGAAGCAAACAGTTCAGTAAGTTAACATCTCGCCTTTGCTATTCAAAGAAACATTTGGAACTTAATACCTTTTTGTAATTTTCAGAAAACCTCACTCTCACGTATACATGCNTATTTAGTGTTAACTACTAATTGGGGACAAGCTCACAGGGTTTCTTTCCCTTTCTTATCTTTTCAATCAGTAAGCAAAAGTGTAAACAAAAGACAGGGTAAAAATCATTTAAGCTTATCAAAATCAAGTATTTGGGAATTTCTTTCCAAGTTTATGTGCATTTCACATCCCACTTAGAGTTCAGATCAATGTACTAAAGTAAACAAGACAAGTATAGAGAACACAACTTTAATCTAAACTTAACTTGACGCTGGTTGAACATGGACAACTCAACTTGAAAAACTTAGGTGTTTAAACTGCGAAGCTGTGAACGAAGGTCCTGCTTGATTGAACACTGTATCTCACTGGAGATCTAATCAGCCAAATTTGGAAAGTAAAATGGTAATACGTCACTACTGCAAGGCTGACACAACGTCGTAGAGTTAAAACAACATTTAGATGTTACTAAATTATAAAAATGAAATTACAATTTTATACAATGGTGCTGATGTTTGTCCTGTTTTCAATAGCTGTTTCATTCATTAAAAGTTGTTCATTTCGCTCATATAAGTTCATTAAGGTCAACGAATAAGACACATTCTCATCAAAGCTTACCACATTAGCATGAGATTTAATCATTTTCAGGTCACTTGCCAGCAAACAAATGTACATCTCCTGGTCATTTTGAACACCTGGACGACTCAAATTCAGCCTTCAAGTTGGCCATAGTACTAATTCGAACATTTGAAGTCAACTCCTCTTCAATTTAGCGAAACAACTAATATTAATGGTCATGTAAAAGCCACAAACTCATCAATAATCGGGCTGGCACAATGCACACATTGAGTAGTAGGCTCACACTGACTGCACGGTTACTGTTCCAATATGGTGTCGGGCTTGGTTACTATTCCAATATGGCGTCTTGCTCAGTTGCTATTCCAACATGGTGTTGGAGTCGGGCGCTCTCGTTTGGGCCGACTAATTACAAACAGTGTCTACACCTGAGTGAGTGAGTGAGTGACACATTTGCATATCAGAGTCCCTGCAACAAACACGTTTCTACGCTTCACGTATACACGAGTTTAAAAACCGGGCAATGTAATGGAAAACTATTAGTTTTAGTTTGCCAACAGTCGAAACGTATGCTGCAGTCACTTATTTTTAATTACAGACCTCTAGGGGAAACAATCAAGGTGCTTCATTGGGTTCAAATGGTCACATTCTTGAGTTGTGACAAGGGAATTTCTATAGGAAAGCATTGTTATACATGGACAACATGTTTGATAGCTTCCTTAATCATTGCTTACATTAATCAGAGGAAAACATCTGTGAATTGTGACTTTTAGCTTGCAAATCTCATGCCTCTGATCTACTGATAGTTGACAAAAAATGTTTGTTTTGTTCACCAATACTGTTAACATTCAGTCAGTTAACTGTTTTCCCCTGATCAAAGATGAGTTAGGTGACAAAAATTGTTGTCAAGTTGCCAAATTAAATTATTTTATTCCAGATTACTTATAATTATTAAGACTTACATGTGTGGGGTGCCTCCGAGTCCTTGAAGCAGGATTGTCACTCACTCTAGATCTTGTTTCTCTGTGCCTCTTACTGGCAGGACTTGAGATACAGACAGAAAGAAAAGAAAACTAGCAGAAATCTTTTGTGCCTTGACATGTACAATGGAACAACAGCATGACATACCAAAAATACACTGTTACAAATGATCTGATTTACCAGAGCAAGCCCACATAGTTGACTTAACAGGCAACATGCCCCTGCTCTGGCACCATCATACTTACCAAATGATTTTATTCAGTGTCCTTCTTCCAATAAGCCACATGATTTTGACCGTAACCCTAGGTGGGTATAGGGCCAGGAAATAAGCCACATCCCCTATCTTTAATAGGGAGAGTGGGTACATTCATGTCATTGGGATGTCTGCAGGAGATACACATGCAAACATTTGAGGGACGTCTGGTTAAAATGACCAAGCATTACTTTGATGGAAATACTAGGTCAGCTAACAATAATGTGATACAAGAAGAGTAGTGGGGGTTGAGGTCTTTGAAGGACAAGGAGGCTGTTATCTGACAGACAAACAAGTCTAGATGGTACTCAGAAGACAAACAGGATATCTATTGTTTAGCATGTGAACATTACATAGAGAGCGACCCAACAGTTGCAGGAGGGACACAAGTCACAACACAGCTAGCAGCCAATTAATGTTTTGGGTGAGAAGTCTCAATGCCAGAAAACACACATGTATAATGAGGGTTCTGGCACAGTGGGTAGCAAGGGGACAACAACCATCCGAAAAAGCCACCCAGCACCTTCTCCTCAGACTAAAGCTTCGGAGAAGGTGCTGGGTGGCTTTTTCAGACGGTTGTTGTCCCTTGCTACCTGCTGCGTCCAGAACCCTCATTATGCATGTGTGTCACGCAAACAGTAGTAAAAATTGTGCGAAATAGCGGGGTCCAGCGAAGCAGCAATGTCCGCGACGTCCGTAATCAATATGCGCGGATGTGCCTCCTCGACTAGTATATACAAAAAATGTGCCAGAATTTTTTTCCTATTGGAGAAGTGTATGCACAGTGTATACGCCGACATGGCTGCCGCAAGATATTCATCCGATGTTCAACTTTCCGAGGCCATCCAAAACCTCCCTCCAGAGCTTCATGAGATGATTCTCAAGGAGTTCATCGCGATAAAAATACAGGAAAAAAAGGAAATGGGGTGGGACAAGGTACACACGAATATTTTTAAACTGCCTTTCTGTCAATACAGGGAGCAGATTGTGCCGGTGGTTATTTGTTTCGAATATCCAGACTGTTATTTCGAGGAGTGTTGTTTCCCCTGTTTCGAAAAGGAGGGAACTGTTCATAAAGCAACACTAAGCCCGCCGATAATACCTCTCGTAGAAGCCAACCCTGAGTACAAGAATTTTTTTAAAGTATGCTCCTGGGACGGTTATGACTGGCACGAGTGGTTCCTTTTTGGCAGGGCGAATTAGCGAANTACAGTTTTCCTGTGATTTTGCTTCCAACTGGTCTTTTTTTTCTTCCAGCCTTTTCAGCCTTTGAACACCTCATTTCTTCTCTTTCTGTGCTTTGTAAAAACATTTTTTGTGGCCTTGTCCCCAATAACTCCATTTTTCACCTTCACCCGCTTCTTCGATGTTCCAAACAGTTAAAGAATCCAAGAATTCGTCTTTTATCAGACTTTTGTTACAAATGTGGCAATCAGTTGCTTTTTTGAATTTCCCCCAGTCTTCGTCCGTCATCACAATCGGCTTTGGGGTGGCCAAACTCTCTTATTTTCTCCTCTTCCTGCAGAATGTCACTTAAAAATTTTTCCACCGCATTTTCACCCCTGTTAACATTTGAACCTACCACTTTACCATCGCTTCTCACAACAATGTAAGAGTAACCGCATGCCTTGTGCCTTTCGGTCTTCTCTGTATAGCTTGCTTGCATTCTCTCACGCTCACAGCCCAGCTAACAATTGCCTCAAAGTCCACGTAAATAACGGCATCTTCATCTGTTTTTTGTAGTTTTGGAAGGAAAGGATGTTTTTCCCCTCTTCTGGCATCTCAATCCTTATCGGCCTGCCATTCACACCGTTGCAATATTTTTTGTGATTCACGAGAAATTCTGCTTTTGAGAAACTGGTTAAGCACAGCATACAAAAGTGCTTTGCGTTTCTGTTCTTGCTCTGATCGAACAACAAAGCGCTTACTCTTTTTACGTAACAATAGTGCTGAATTTCCCGACTCGATTAACATCAGGTTTATCCACGGCACATTCTCTTCTTTTTTGCTTATATGGTGCACAATCACACAATCGTTTTCCCAGCCAAATACGTTTATTGCGAGTTTTTGGTCTTGTGTCTTGAGCTTATCTATCTGTTTTATTGGTGTTGGGAAATCGATGCCTACGTAGTTAATACGGTCGTTGACCGGATATTTGCTTGGTCTTTGCGGGTTCTTTCCATCTTTTGGAGGGAATAAAGCGGCTCTGAGTGCCAACTTCAAACATTCGTTACCCGTTTTTCACGTTGATTATTGCCTTCTTTTTTGCCAGTTTGGTTGGAAGAGGCAAATAGGTCCCTCTGCGAAGTGGCTGGTAGCGCACAACATTCATGTACGCGATCTGTATCTTTTCAACCACCCATCCTGATCCTTTCTGAGACCAGTGCTCTATTTCTCCTTTTGCGGTTTCAATGAATTCATCGAATTTTTGTTTTATCTGTTCCTCATCGTTCCTTTCGAAAACGTGCGGTTTGCCGTCTTCGAAATAGTGCTCCATTACTGTTTAACCTTTGGGTTTCTTGTCCAACCAAATCGGTGATCTTTCGTTTGTTTTCTCTTGTGAACTTTAAAAGATCTTTCTTGTTTGGATTCCTTTCGGATATATCCATTCTCCACACACGGAGCCATTCTTGGAAATTGTTTTGGGATATTTGGAACCTGTCAAATAATGCGGTAAAATCAGGTTTTAACGGTTCGGGAAGGTTAATTTTTTCCTCCCTCGGTATTGGGCCGTAGGACATTTGCAGAACATTGGACGAATATCTTGCGGCAGCCATGTCGGCGTATACACTGTGCATACACTTCTCCAATAGGAAAAAAATTCTGGCACATTTTTTGTATAGACTAGTCGAGGAGGCACATCCGCACATATTGATTATGGACATTGCTGACATTGCTGCTTCACTGGACCCCGCTATTTCGCACAATTTTTACTACTGTTTGCGTGACACACATATGTATAATGAGGGTTCTGGACACAGCAGGTAGCAAGGTACAACAACTGTCCGAAAAAGCGACCCAGCACCTTCTCCGAAGCTTTTGTCTGAGGAGAAGGTTCTGGGTGGCTTTTTCGGACGGTTGTTGTCCCCTTGCTACCCGCTGTGCCAGAACCCTCATTATACATGTGTGTCAGAAAAGGTGCTGGAGGACAAGCAAGACACCAAGAGCACCATGTTAGAAAGCAAATATATATTTGCCTCCTTGTATGCACCTACACTACAAAACCAAAGCTGATCACAGCATAGGCCGATCTGCTTACAAAATGTAGAATGGAAAGTTACTGCATTTGATGAGTATTACACTGATGGAGACATGGAGAGAAGAGAGTGCATGGTTTAACACCAAGCCAATTGTAAGTTGCTATTCAACAGCCAAATCACAAAAGGCATCATCATTGGTTCTGCTGATGTGAAGGCTCTGTATCAAAGTTTGGACATCACATTCCTCACAAACAGTGTACAGGTACTTGGATGAGTTTGAGGTTCTACTTAACATTGAACAGAACTTACACAGAATTAAGGGATATATTTGTGGGGTTGCTGTGATCGGCAATCATCACAGTTGCCGTGAAAGAGAATAGAACTAGGCACTACAACTGTGGCTACCATATGCTGAAGAGCCTGATAAGGTTGCCATCTTAAAGATGTTCATTGAAGCAATGAAATTTGTCCATCTGTTTGTCATGTAAAAACCAGAAGTATGCTGTTGACCATCAGAAAAAGGAGTCCTCGTTGGCCTAGAACCTACTGGGTCCTGGTGCAATTGTTTATGGCGTAAGTAGAACAGCCTGTTCATGAAGAAGGTTGACAGGAACGGGTTGAGATCAGAAGTATTCACGAGATATGTCAATAACCTAAATGTCACATATTACAATGTTGCCTTAGTCTGTAATTAATGAAAGTGAAGAACACCCTTTCCATGAAGCTTCACGAGAACAATACTGCCACGAGAAGTGTCAAGGATCCTTCTCGACTGTAGTAGAGTTCTCATGGAAAACTTTCATTGGTCACATGAACCACACAATAATTTCCCTTTAGTTCTCTGGCTATGAACAGAAGTTAAACGGAATTTCCTGCTGAATGTTAACCTTTATGATTAGTACCCTGGATTCAGTATGGACGGGTCCAGGCTCAAGCCCTAGCCCAGGTCATTTTGTTGTGTTCTTGGACAAAACACTTCGTCAGTGCCTTTCTCCACCCAGGTGTACAAACGGGTACTGGTCTGTGATGGCCTAGCATCCCATCCAGGGGGAATAGAAACACTCCTAGTCACTTCATGCTATGGAAATGAGCAATAGGTGTAGGTCTGATGGGCTCCTAGGATTGGATGCAGACTTTGCCTTCACCGACCAGTTAGTCCCAGAGAGGAAATGGGAGGTCACACACAGTGCAAACAAAAACTCTTACCTCGTAAGGATTAGAACCGACAATCTTCAAATTAGATGACCAATACTCTACTAAATAATCTATAAGGCCAGGCAGGAGCAGGTCATGTATTTGTGGCCAAAAAATAAGAGTACATTTGCAAATACAATATGCAAATAGCTGGGATGTCAAAGAAGAAATTAGTAAGCACTCCAGTAATGTTTTACAGAAAAATGATTTAACTTGAAATTCTTCGGCAAAAATAAATACACATAACTAATGAGGCAAATTTAGTTCAATCATGGTAATTACCTCAGGTTGTTTTCAGCAAGGAGTCTTTCAAGCTGTTTATTATATTTCCTTACTCTCTTCCACTCATCGCGGTTGGGTCTGGAGATAAGATTATGATAAAGCATTGAACAATTAGTCTCCCTACAGATCACATCCATTGTTAAGAGGCTGCCCTTGTAACAACCGACCACTCCGTTTTCTGCCAGAAACAGAATTTCTTCAAATTTTCTGTGTGAGAGAATTAGTCCACATGATAAACAAGAATAGCCATAATTTGGCTTTTAATGCCATTTTTCAATATTTCTGGTGATGATTTTGGAGGACGGTCCAAAACCGTTAAAATCATTCTTTTTCGAGTAAATTTAGGCATTGCGCTGAAGGCGCTGAAAAATTACACTTTTACTCAAGTACAATACAATACAAATTTTCGCGAGGAACATTCTTTGGCCCCTAAAGATCTTACTAATAACTTTTCGATTTTAAAGAAATGTACAACCAAGTTTGACTTTCTTATTTTTGAAATGTTTTTTATTCATGAACTGAGACCAAGTCTCAATGTACAATCTGACTCTATTCGTGCGAAAGTTTTTAAATAATCTTTCTCTCTCTTTTTTTTATTAATTAGTTTTACATGTTTGTTATTGTTCTAAGCACTACTTTGTAAATTCTTTTACATACTTTTACATATTTTTACTTCATTAATAATTTTCACACATTCTTACCTCTTTGTAGCTATATATATCTATGCAAATTTTACTTCTTACATCTTGCTTGATAATGACCGAAGAGCGGTTGAAATGTCGCAAACTTTTACCGTTTATTTTTATTGTCAAATGTTTTAAAAAACCCTTACTGACAATAAAACCTGCAGATCATTTTATTTCATGTTTCATCTTTTGATTAACGTTAAAATATTGGAAATCGAGCCTAAGAAACATTAATTATGATTTTTTGAAAATGCCCTACAAAGAGCCTTCAAAAAATTTAAGTGGACATGCGGCTGGTTGAAGGAGTGTTTCTCAAAAGTATAACATGATCTGGAGCCCTGACCAATATCCATGTTTAGTACTAAGGCTAGTGTGCTGGGAACAGGAAGAAAAACTTTGGGCACTAACCTTTTTGAACCACAGGAGCTCAATCAACATAGCTAAAATTCAGCCACAAAAGGGTGCATGACACAATTTTGCACCACTTACTGTTCCGAAGTTTCCCACATCAATTTTTAAGTTTCCCGTATAAAGTAATCTTACCTTGAAGCAGATATTCTCAAAACGTGCTCTTTGCTTGGGATAAGGCATGAATAGCCTTAAATTTATCAGAGTCCTCCAAAACTGGCAATTAAAAAGCTAAAATGAGTGACTGTGGAGTAAGTTACTGTTATCTTCTGCCTGGCCTATAAGCTGTTTCGGGTGAAATTGGGCTAAATAAGGTTTGGCCTATATGTAAAAGGACTCTCATATTTAAAAATTGGAACCATTAATCATATAACTTACTGCCTAGCTAGAAAGGGAAATAATTTATCGGACATTTATCGCTTGTGTACTTCAGCTGTAGCGATATCTAAAGAAAATGTAGATTTCAGTCGTCTACATTGTACAACGCTAGAATGTCTGAATTGTTTTTAGCTTGTCACGGACATTCTTACTGCATTGTTAAGTCATGTTAAGTTGTAATTGAAGTGACTGCTAGAAAAGTCCTTCTGAATTGTATGCTTTCTATCTTTGGTTTCATTTTGTTTGAAAAAGCATTTATCAAAATTTGGTGCAAGTTTACAAAGTGATGTGTCAATAGAGTTCATATTTCCAGCGAGCAAAAAACAAACAAAAGAAACTGAAGAAAGAAAAGGAATTGTTCTCTGGAATTCAATGTTTATTCTGTTACCCTGAGTTTCCGATGGTGTGGAAGAAGGCAAATAAAGTTGAAAAGGCTACTAATTTAATTCAGCTACACAACATTTTGCGATTCCGCTCAATATAATTAAAATTATTTCATGCTGTTAGTCACAGGTCCCGTAGCAATACATGGCTTGAAAAGCCATTTTCGTTCACTTAGTTCATTAAAAAGAAAAAAAAATGTTACGCCATAATTACCACGCCCAATACATTCTGAACTATACAGTTTGTAAACTTGTTTTCCTAACGGCGACATTCACATCCCTACGAATGTGGATAGGTTCACTACCAAATTTTTTTTTAAACAAAGGGAACTTCAAAATATCTAAGTATCTACTTCAGCATAACTTTACTGAAATTGTCTGTCTGAAACTGTTTTCGTCTCGTGAGAGGTTACACAGGCAGTAGGAATCATAGCAGACTGGATGTCTAGGACTGAGTTGGGCAGTACCCCATATGCCTTTCTTGTTCTTCCTCTTCTGCGTACACATTCTCTATCTGCACCTCTTAGTTCCCCTGCCGTCTACATGTGGCTGCCAATCTTGAGAAACCTTGCACTTGACTCTTTGTTAGCCAGTCTTTTCTTTCAAACATACGCAAACCATCTGGGCTTCTCATGGTGCTCACCAAGATGACCATCAAGGTGACTCTCAAGCTCAGTGAATTTCTTATACACCATCTGACATCCAGGCTCAGAGCAAAAGAAGAGACCGCTGCTTTGTTCGTGATCACTTGACATAGCTTTATGGATTCGAGCCTCCTTGACTGAGAGAAAGTCTACATCTACAAAAGATCTGTTGGACCTTGAGGCTTTATGATGATCTCTTGGTAGGGAAAATAAAGTAAATGATACTTACTGAAACCATCTACTTTATTTACCTCGAGTGTCTTTTGAGTCTCATTTACTGAGCAAACGTAGGCAACTGTGCCTTGAACAGGACATTCGGAGAATGCTGCACACATCCTTTGCAGAGAGAACGTCGTTTCGCTCACTGCAATATCGTTGCATCGTTGATTTCATCTGTCAACTTGGCGACAGGATACTTTCAAAGTATCCTGTCGCATGCATCTTTTCTGTACTGTGGCTCAGAAAAGTCATACTGTGTGACAGTAAGACCAACTTGTTTCCCAATATCTCTTACGGCCACAGTGATGTGCGCATATGATTTCAGCTCAACGTTGCCACTGCTAGCATTCTGTTATGACCATGGATATGTGCCAGCTAAGGCCTCGTTCTCCAAACCAATCGAACTGCTTCTCACGGTATTTCATTTGACGAACTTTCATGGCCCAGTCTATTATTAGAATAGCTGACGTGTCATCAACTGTGATCCTGTTTACCCTCTCAGGCCTGCTTTATCGAACATCTTACTTTCCACAGCAAGATGTCTGACTTTGTGAGGTCTGCAGATCTTCTCGTTGCTCTGAACTTCCTGATCCGTGTTTGTAAAGTATCCAGAATCTGCATCACGATCACATGATTATATACCACGCCCACCAGCCTCGTCCTAAACGGAAAAATAGTGAGCCTTGACCGACCAGCCAGTAGTTGTATTGCTAAGCAACTTTGTAGAAAAACTAGTGAGACAATCTCAGATAGTGCAGACTACAATTGATAGCTCAGGCATGGTAGTCCCATAAGTACTCACCCCTGCTCGGTTAACTTCTGGTTTGTATCTACCTTGGTAGTCTGCCAGGGCTTTTCCCCTTAGCAGTGAGTACATTTCAGGGTTGTATTTTCATTCAAGGTCCGAAAATTATGTACAATTACTGTTTGTCATGACAGCCTTTAAATTTTACTCTGGTGTTTTACGATGATTTTCGTTCATTTTAAATTCAATAATACGTTGAACAAATGTGACAATTTAGCTCTTCACGCCGACTTTGTAACTTGATACTTTTGTTTCCCTCACAAAGGTATGTAACATGAAACTCTTGTTTTCTCCAAAACACAGGGAAGATGAGCTTGTTTTGGGGGATAAATGAAAGAAAGTTAAATATCTGACGAAGAAATGGAAGAGAAACAATTTTGTTTTTTCTCAAAACACAAATTTTTTTATCATAGGTGAACAAGAACTAATTTACCTAACAGAGTCGTGGATTACCACTTTCTTTTTCTGTTGCCACCTTTGTTAACAATAAAACAATTCAAAATTAACACACAACAATATTGATTGATACCACTGGGAAGCGTTTCAATGAGAAGTATTGAAGGTAAACAACGCTACTTGGCCGATATTATCCTGCATCGATGAATGAGTCTCCTCAAAGACTGATTAAATTAATTTGCGCTTTCATTAGGTGCCAGGGAGTCTGCAGCAATATTTGAGCACTTTCCTTGTTTCTTTTGTCACAAATTTACAATTTGCAGCCACTAACTCAGGAACTTTTTGGTCTCTCTTACAGACGCAGTTAAGGCAAGAAATAAATGAGCCGCTAATGAGAAACTTCACATTTCCGTTCTTTATTTAAACCCTGACAAACATACTATTGTAGTTTGAAAACAGCAGATGATATTTGTTGAACCGACCTGTGGATAATTCTAAAAGATACGTTTAACTTTTACACTAAAAAGGGACAAGTGGCGCTACCTAATACCTGACATTACACGACATACAAAACTGCGTGGAAACATAGTATATAACACTTACGATGCTAGAACGCATGCCTCTTACATGTTGGGTTCTACCATAAGGAAAACTACTCAACAATTGTGTGTTATCCCATATGCAATGTATCCTCCACCTAAGACACGAACGCTAACTAATCTGCGCATGGTTTAGAGCAAATTGGTTTTGTTCTTAAGAGAATAGTACCACAAGGAGAGCAAGGGGTTACTTGAAACAAATATATAGCTTTGAGATGTTTACCCGTAACTGATGTAGATAGAACACGTTTTACGTAGGGTACACGTGTACCTTTCCCAGCTCACCCCCACCATTTCCTTGTCTCTAGACTAATTAATTATTTGAAATAAATTAATTAAACAAACATTAAAATTTACACCTTAGCACCTTAGTTACTTAGTGGCAGGCAGCCCCCAAAACCACCCCAATAGTGCATTCTGCACTAAATAATGACCAATTTTTGTTAAAGTTGTTGTTGTTGTTGCTGCTGCCGCCACTGCTGCTGTTGTTGTTGTTTTAAATTTGGTGTAATATTCAGAACAAACTATCTTTCATTGCAGCAGGGTGCCCGGTAGTCTCT